GAAAAAAAAAAAAAAAAAAAAAAAAGAGCCAGTGAAATACAATTGGTTGTCTTCCCCTAGGATTTATGGGAAAGAGACTCTTGCTCTCTCTTCAGACCACCAAGGAGAACCATACCAGGTAAATGGAGCCAATACCAAAAGAAGCAGAACTGAGAACTACAGACACTCATCTCTGAAGTTGTTTTAACCATTTAGATATCAAATGCTGTCAGAATTTTGTCCAGCCTGACAAGAACTTCGCCTCTGAAGCCATGGAAAACCAACGAGGTTAACTGGTTCTTCTGGTGAAAAGACTTCTGGAAGTTACCTAATTCTAGAAGCTTCTTCACACAGTCTAGCCTCTGATAGGTGCAAGCCACATACAGGGGAGTTCCAAGGTGAGGCACTTCCTGGTCAATGTTAACGTTATTTGCCAGCAGAATCTCCATGCACTCTCTATTACCTGGTGGAACACAAGATAACCTCACTCAAGTAAGGGAAATATTAACGATTCACAGAATTGTAAGATTGCTTATCTGGAATGGGCTTTAGAAACAACCTAGATTTTTTTTTTTTCAGCAGAAAAAAAACCTGGGAGGTGGGGGAAATCTTAGAAATCTCCAAACTAAAAAGGTTAGAAAGAAGAGCAGGCCCACGCACCGGCCCCTGCCCCACTGAGATTCTTCCCTGCAGCCTTGAGGTACCTCCAACCAAACTAAGGGTTCCAAGGAACACGGCTGAAATCACTCTCTATAATAAGTCACCAGATTACAGGCAGAGGTTACAAGACCCAGGGGAATAAATGACTCACGCTATTATTACCCTGAAAAGCCAATGCTCAAATCCAAGGCCCAGCCCTGATCCATCCATCTCCATTACAAATCTCTCCTTCTCTTCCTCGCCCATGCATGTAAGATTGGGTGGATGGTCACGCCATGCACCTCCTTATTTTGGTCAACTTGTAAGACTACTGTGAGAATTAATAAAAAGCCTCAAGTATAGAATCTATTTAAAGGCACTCTCAAGTTTAGTGGCCAACAAGAACTAGATAAGTAAGCATTCTCCTTGGAGAGTTCACCCAGTGAAGAGACAGACATGATTAATTTGCAGCATATGAATGATTTGTTTGGGAGCAAATGCTTCTGAGGTATTGATGGGAGTTTTATAAAGAGTTGGTTCTTTTTTGAAGGTTTAAATGTTTCCTAAAAAAAACAAAATCTTATCATTACTGATTAGCTTGACCAATCTTTTCTTTAGAGATGAAACCAAAATAAGCTTCATCTCAGCCTGCTTGATTCATCACAAATTCTGAATTAAGCATAATTATGCATTAAAATCTACAAGTAAGGCTTCTGTGAATTCCAACTATTTTACTATTGTTCACATAAGTAAATTTTATACCTCAATTACAGCACTGATCTGTCAAAGTATTGACTCAGACTGACCCCTCTTGTTCCTAGAGGTTTAAAGCTGTAAGAATCCAGAAATATCTAATCAGGACCTAAAAGTGCCTGGTAAATTCAGTGTATCTAATAAACATTTAAAAGCATCATTCCTGGGCTTCCCTGGTGGCGCAGTGGTTGAGAGTCCGCCTGCCGATGCAGGGGACACGGGTTCGTGCCCCGGTCCAGGAAGATCTCACATGCCGCAGAGCGGCTGGGCCCGTGAGCCATGGCTGCTGAGCCTGCGCATCCGGAGCCTGTGCATCCGGAGCCTGTGCTCTGCAACGAACGGGAGAGGCCACAGCAGTGAGAGGCCCGCGGACCAAAAAAAAAAAAAAAAAAAAAAAAAAAAAAAAAAAAAAAAGCATAATTCCTGTCCCTTTTTTTTTTCCAGAAGAAACTGAGCCTAGCTTGAGTTAAATTTAAGTGTTCTCAGGAAGTTTTTAAAAAATGAATATATAAAAGTCAAATGATTGGCACTAATAGTATCTAAAGTAATGAATTTGCTATTCATCCTTCCACTCTGTGGACACTGGTCCCTCACATGTTTTTATGATACAGAAAAAAATATGTAGAGACACATGAATTCATCTGTTTATGATAAGCATGTATATATCAGAGGTACATAGATACCAAACACTCCATATATAACCATCCAAGCACTGCAGAATTACTTAATTCAAACCATTACCAACGTTCATCCATTTTTAAGCATTTGGATGGAAATACAGATAATAGATTAATTTTTACTTCAAATCAATATTTTAAAAATTTTAAACACTTTTATACCATTTCCAAAGTAGACTATTTCCCT